AGATGGAGAGGAGGAGCGCTAGAGTAAAACCCTGCCCTCTGTTCAATATTCCGTTTCACTTGGAAGTACGTCACAGCACTGGAGAAAAATTGTTTGCAACTTCCGGTTCACGGGGACTTTAAGAATTATAAATTGCCCAATTTAGTGTTGAATCTTGTTATGTTTCTTATTTCAATTTTATATCAAATCATGTCATCATGTTAAATTTGATTCTGAATCCCAGATTTTTTACGTAGTCTCAGACTCTTGGGATCCACTGTATATCTTCTGTAAAGCTCTTTATAAACACAACAGAATTGAGTGCAAGAAAGCAAATCAGACCTGACAGTTTCAGCCTGTTTTTATGTTGTTTAAAAAAAGTTTTTATCAAATGACGACCATGAAAGGCCCGTGGGTGTGCCGTCTGGGACAAGGCTAAGTAGAAAGACAATAAGAGCAGCTATAATTACAGACACACACACACTTAGCGAGCATAAACATAAACACATGCACCTGGCTGAACACACCTGGCCAAATCCTCCTCACAAACAGATCTCACAGAGCAGTCATCGTGGCTTACTGATTTAATTGAGTGCATGTGAACCACCGTCAACAGGAAGAAGCGAAGTGAGCTGCCTGTAGTCATGAATATGAGAGAGAACGTTCCTCACTGTCATCTCATGTGAGACTGCGGGAGAAATTCCACAGTCACACTTGACATAATCAAAGAACAGAGGGCACATGACAGACATTTTCTCATTACGTCCTGCTAAATACAACCGTCACACTGACGTGTCAATGAGACTTCTGGAGAGAGGAAAAAAAAGACAGCAGGGATGCTACTTTAACAAATCTGGGTCTGACTTGAGTCTTTAAAGCGTTAGTTCACCCAAAAATGGGGGGAAAAAAGTGTCATCATTTACTCACCCTCTTTGATGACATGACCCGTAAGACATTCGTTACAAATTAAAGGATTAGTTCGGTTTACACTTAGAGCCCTGTTTTAAGATAGTTTCTGATGAAATAGAATGGTTAAGATTGAAATTTGGACAACTGCTGCTGTCCCGAGAATTTTAGGTTTCTGTGTTAGCACCCCCGCACCTACACAATGGTTGTCTATGTGCACTGGAACAATCATTCATAAAACGCATTCAACTTTTGTTTACAAAGACGTGAACCTCACCGAGTGGGTGTTCACTGATATTCTCATACAAAAAACGCTGCAAAAGATGCTTTCCAACAGGTTTTATTGTAGTTTTTGTACCAAGTCAAGTCAATGGAGTCGGACAAAAATTACGATGAACACCCCAGACCACTGCGTTTACTGCGTTTTATGAATGATTGTTCCAGTGCATATAGATAACCATTGTGTAGGTGGGGGGATGCTAACAAAGGAACCTAAAATACTCAGGACAGCAGCATTTGTCCAAATTTCAATCTTAACCATTCTATTTCATCAGAAACGATCTTAAATCAGGACTTTAAGTGTAAAATACCGAACGAACCCTTTAAGATATTTTTTAAAGAAATCAGAGATTTCTGTCCCTTCACACAACTACACTTTGTAGTTTCAATAAATTCAAAAAGTTAATTAAGACAGTGGTTTAAGATCTAGTATGGGCCACTTAGAAGTTAGTCATAGGCATTCAGTCTTACTTTTCAGTCTCAAATTAAGCCAATCTACATTTTTATGTAACCGATTAAAAAAAAAGTTATGAGAAGTCTAAAAGAAAATAAAAAAAAAATATCTTAGTGGTTTATGCAACCAGCCCCAGTTCTTGATTTTCAATCCTAAGAGAGACAGACGATGAGAGGAAAGTGAAAGAGATAAATGTTCTAGCAGCAAGCTTGATCGCAAAACACTAGATTAATGCTAATGAAGAAGAATGCAGTTTGGTGTAAAGGTGCCATTAGTTGGCAAGAAGCCGCTTGCTCTTATCACATGCACTCATGTGTGAGAACACTCCAAATGACGCAATCCACAATTCAATGGCAACTTTAAAAGCTCAACAAAAAAACGTGTTCACTGCAATCAATAGCTCTTTAAAGCCATAGCTACAGACTAGCACACAGCAAAATCATTATTAGTCCATTTAAAACCCTTTTGGCACCACATGTATTCTCTAGTGCTGTTATTTTTAAACATATAATTATTTTGATGCTAAAATACTTTTCCGTTTACCTAAGAAAGAATCATTTGTCGACTGAGCGTAAACACGGTGAATAGCATACAACTGTGCACTTTACCTTTCCAAAGTATGTCAAATATTTTTGAAAGAAGTCTTATGCTCAGTAAGACAGTTTTAAACAATAATAGTGTAAAATATTATTTTTTTCACTATAACTGAACTGTTTTCTATTTTAATATATTTTAAAATGTAATCTATAGACCTTATTTAGGGCAGCGCCATGACAGGTATGAAAGTGAGGCTGTGAGGGATAGACTTACCGTGTTTCCAATGGCATCCGCTGTAAAAAGCTGAATAAAGCGGCTAGATTACTTACAATTTTCCACAGCTTACATTGTCGGGAGTTTTTTGTCAACTGACAATTCTTAGAAAGATATTTTTCCAGTGTTTCATAAGCAGAACAATCCGAAAACACACTAAATAACAATACAGCCTATTGAAGAGATGCAAGTCTATCCCTCACAGACTCGCTTTCATTCTCATTAAAAATCAAAGATGCCGCTGCCGTGAATAAGGCGTATTCCGGTGTTGGCAAAGCTAAATCTTCAGTGTCACATGATCCTTCTGAAATCATTCTATTATCCTGAATTGATGCTCAAGACATATTACCTATTACTATCAATGTTGAAAACATTGGAAACCATTGTACTTTGTTTTTTTTTTCTTCACAATTCATTGATGAAAAAAAAAGTATTTTTTTTAAAAATTTGAAATAGAAGTCTTTTATAAATCTTTACTGTCCATTTTGATCAATTTAAAGCATTTTTATTGAATACAATTATTAAATCCTTAATTAAAAACAAAATTACCCCAAACGTTTGAATGGTAGTGTATTACAGCCAAAAATGGGGAGTATTCAACCAAAGCACATTAGGCACTGTACATAAGCACTGTATCCCACAATGCAATGTGCCCATAGCAATATACTAGGCAGTATTGAATGAATACACTAGTACTGTGCATCTATTATCCATGTGGTGCCTCTATAGGCAAAGAAATTACAAACTTCTGTTCTGCAGTTGTACAAGTACGTTTTAGAGAGGCTGAAGTATCAGATGACGACACATTTTACTGTCGAGTGACTACCTCTAAACCACCATTTACTACTTTCTGCACAAATGTGGGCTGCTGAATATTTGTTCTCTGAAATCACATCTGAAATGACCTTGGGGAGCCCAGCTCTTGGCTCAGGCCTCAGAAACACGAGTGTATAATCCTCTGGCGTATCAGTTCGGTCTGTGAGGCTCAATGCGGTGACTGGGTAAAATGAAAAGTGCTGATGCCAGGAACAAGCACAGTGGTAATACTACGGCCCCTCAACTGCAATGGAGTTTTCTCAATGAGTGATGAAGTAACCATGTGCTAATTGTTGTTACAAGGCTATCTGTACAGTAATTTAACTAGAAGTTACTGAATAGCATCTTATATATCACTGAAATATCATAACAACTATATGAAAGTAGAAATGCACCAAAATAAAAATTCTGGGCTGAGAATTCAGGAAGCAATTGGCCGAAAACCGAAACGGAATTAATTAACTAATCAAACTTATTTAATAATCAACACTCAAATAGATAAGAGTTGTACAAACATTTAAACATAAGGTAGTTTTCCTAACTCTTTCGCCACCATTGACAGAAATTTCCTTCATTTATGAGACAATGCTTTCCGATAAATTCAGGCTTTCAATGTTTTCTTGTATTAAAAACCAAATTAGTATCAAAATATCTTTCAAACTTGTTATCCATCACTATAAGTAGCAAACCAGAGAACGAAAAGAAGCACACCAACCATTTCTCGATACAAATACAGCTGTGGATGAAAATAATATTAGGTGCAAACGCCCCTTTGGTGCAAAACTATTGTTTGTTTATCAAAAATACGTTTTTTTGCACTAGTTTCACACTATAAGGCCTGCTATGAGGCCACTGAATTTTGTATATGTCCTTACAGTTTACAAGCCAAAACAACACCCTTCATCTTGATAAAGCCTCGTCTCACCGTGTTCTTTCAAGGACTTTCAACACATCACAATTAAAAACAGATTGAAACTTTGGTTACACAATACACCATCACATGCTGTTATACTCTTCATGAGAAAATCATGGACAAATACTAAAACAATTATAATAAATAAAATTTCAAGATCAAGTCTTATGGTTAGAATTTCCTAAGGAAAATCTTTTTCAGTCACAGGGAAAACAAGAACAAGTATTCAGATATTAAATTTTAAATCACATGATATTGATATGCTATTGTACTTTGAAAACTTTCTAGGACTGGTATAACCAACCAAAACAATCATAAACTATTACATCTAGAATTGCTAATGTGTAAAATGATAAACTTTATACCTCCAACCCTTAATATTTGACTATTTACTGCAAAAAAAGTAGTACAGACATGTATAATGAAATTAAGGATTGGCAAATCCAACTTAATTACATTTGAGAAGTTTTGGGGAAGCCAAAGGAGAAACTGAATATGCATCTGATATCATGTAGACTACGGTTCAAAGGTTTGGAATTAGTAAGATTTGTTTTAAATGCTTGTATTCAGCAAGAACACATTACATTGATCTAAAGACTTCAATACAAAAGATTACGATATCAAATTGATGTTGTACTTTTGAACTTTCTATTGATCAAAGAATCCTGAAAAAAATATTTTCCACAAAAATATAACTTGCTATATAAGAGACTTCTTTTAAAAACAGTAAAAAAATGTACCAACCCAAACATTTGAACAGAAGTGTATATACAATTGCTCCTGGGTCAGTCGACATTTTTATTTTACACACATGTGCGTTTATGCATTTTGGCAGTCGGTTACCTCTGCTGATCCTTTGTTTCTCTCCGCTCAGGATTCCTGGAGTGTCAATCACACTGATGCTCTCCAGAACAGGATTGGGTAGCTGTGCACACACAAACCTGAAGGCCAACCCAAACAAACAGGAGTCACAATTAAGGACACTGCAATCCTTCTTCATCCCACTCATATGCTTCATTCTTGAAGTGAAAATATTCCTCCCGTTTTCTACAGTTTTATGTTTCATTCTTGATTTGAGCTTGTGCTCAACAAGCTCTCAACTAAAAAGTCCTAAATCTCCAAAACTGTGAAGTTGTAATAATTTGGCATAGATATATGGATCAGAGTGGCATAAACCATTATTTTAGCCCTGCAGTCTGACCGAGTTGGACATGGTAAAACATAAAAGGCAAAGTACGACTTTACGTTTTTATAGCCTGAGTAAAAATGTCGGCCCTGAGAGGCTTTCAAAGCAAGCCAAAATGTTGTGCATGGTTTTTGTGGTATAGTGTGTGTGAACTAAGCCCAGAAAAAGTGTGTCATGTTTTGGAGTGAATCGCTAAGGACCTCAGGCTAGGGAAACTTTTTCCTAAAATCATTTACTCTTCTTTTGACAGTTACTATTACATGGACACAAACAACTTGAAAGCACTGAAGAGCACATTCTAGCATGAACATTTACTGAACATCTGGCACCAGACCTCACGCAAGTACAAAATATCTAGCAGTTTAGGCCAAATATGAAAGTTTTAAGCTGGAGAGTTTTATTTAAAGGTATAGCGGAGGATTTTCTTTTTCCGGGTGGGTAGTCTATACTATTGGTCCACCTAAGTGTCAATCATTCTGGTGATATGTTTACGTAAGGCCGTCGTACGTGCTCATCCCTATGTAGTTTTCACTTTCAGGTGTATTATGTCGGAGTTGCGGTTTCAACCATTCCTTTGAAAATGGCTGAGGGTCGAAAGAGAAAAAATGTATACGAAGTGTATGATAAGAAGAGAAAGGCCACAGAATATAGAAACAAGACCAGAGAGATTTTGGGTTAATATGCTGGCGTGCGCTAAAAGCACAGGTTGGGCTTCTCACTGATGCCGCAGTCGCGAAGATTCTACTAGACAGGTAAAGTTTGTCACGCTATTTGGAGAAATCAATTTAAAATCACTAGTAAAAGTTAATGCAAGCTACTTAGCAATGCTAGCCCTGGCGCATAGACACGGTAAACATCTCAATTTGTCTAAAGTAGCCTTTTGACCAAATGATAAATGGTATCACCCTGAAATATTCTAAAACCTTGTGTGTTTATTATTACACAAATGCAACAAGCTACTTCTCCATTACATATGCAACTATGTATAAAAATAACGTATTATTAACAATGAGACATATTAGGTTAAGGACCAAGGTAATAGCACTGCTTATATGTTGCCATGTAACGTAATTGCGATTTGCCAAATAGTTTCCTCAGAACGTATTTCGCGTGATACAGGGTTGTACATACCATGTCTTGAGTCCTCGGTCACTCAATCGATCAGTATAAGTAAATAAAACACGGTAGGGCATTTGACATGTTGTCTTTTTTATGAATGTTTTTGAGTTAGTTTATAATTTTCAACATAATTGTGTAAGGCATAATAGACGTTCCCTCTCGGGAGCAAGAGTGTTGTGTTTGTCCATGTGCATTTTTTTAAAAAATTGGAGAGGGCGGGTCTTCTCTAAAATTCGGAAAGATCCTCCGCTATACCTTTAATATGAGAAACTACTCAAAAATATATAATCTAATTGCAAAATAATTGCAAAATTGTCAAAAATATTTGAATTGTCAAATATTTTGATGTATAATAATATGCAGTATACAACATGTACAATCTAATTGCAAAATAAAAAATCTAATTGCAAAATAACCATATTTGTAGCTGTCTTTCTTGAATTGTCAAATATTTTGATGTATAATAATGCAGTATACAACATGTACACTGAACAGCTGCTATTTGTGCATTCATAAATGATATACATATCTAAAAATATATCTGAAAACCAGGGCAGTTGTCTCAAGCATTTCAAATGACATAAACCCACAGCCAAAAAGGGTGCATGACATGTAATATCACATGAGCATGTTTACAACCTCCTTGTACCAAACTGTGAAGAGAAAATGTATTTGCACAAAGACAGTAAATATGGTGAAGAGGAATTTCACCAAAAATTCTGTAACCATTTTAGAGCCAGACCGATTTATCGGCCGATATTAAGCATTTTCCATACTATCGGTATCGGCAGTTATAATGGCCGATAAATTAATATTTCAAAAATAAAATAAAAATGGACGAAACATGCTTCAACCATGTCATGAGTGTTGGAGTTGTATATTATTATATTATTTTATTTATCAGAACTTTAATATATTTTGATGTTCCTCTGTTCTGTTGTGACAATAAAAGAAACAAGTTTCTTTTTAAAATGCATTATCATATTATTTTAGTTAAAACTCATAAATAACTACAAATAACTAATGTTTGGGAATCTGTTAATGTTTTGTTGGACGTTTCTGGAAAAAAAAAATATATATATATAAAGGGCCGATATATCGGAATATCGGATTCTAAAACCAACAAATATTTGTATCGGTCTTCAAAATCCTTTATCGGTCGGGCTCTAATCCATTTACTCATGTACATTACTTAACTTCATGTCATTCTTTTCTTCTGTGGAACTCAAACTATTTTTTTTGTCCACACAATGGAGGTCATTATTGTTTTAGTCCTATTGACATTATTCAAACTATTTTCTCACAGAAGAAAGTGAGTCATACAGGTTTGGACTGACATGTGATTAAGTATATGATGACAGTACTTTCATTTATGAGTGAACTGTCCTTTAAAAAGTGTGTGTTGCTTGTCTTCTGACAGAATTGCACGAGAGACAATTTCAAAAATATGTAACTTTGAGATTGCAAAAGGCAAAGAGACAATTTTCTCAAGAGTTTTTCTGCTGATTTGCACAACAAGCAGCGCAGCCTGCCAAACCCTCAGACTACTATGTGCAGCACAGACCACTTGCACGAATAATCACATGCATGCAATTGCATTCTTATGGGATTTATTCACAAAGAACTGTCACTCTATCACTTTTATTGTTGAGTAATTTTCAGACTGTAAATGACAGCCTGCTTAATATGCTGGTGAGTCTTGTCTGTCTGTGGCATAGTCCTGTGACTGGAAGTCAGTGGATCAGACAACATGAGGAAACTCAATCAAGAGGAGGAATGTTGCCTAGCACCAGCCCCCTCTGTGATGTCATCATTATCGCAGGAGGACCATGCTACTTCAGACCATTTTTTTTTAGTTGAAGATTTATGACCCAAAATGTAGTAATAAAACTAACTATAAGAAATGTTTTGCAGGCAGGAAAACTAATCACCCCCAGAACATTTCTTTGTCAAAAATATTTTGGTCTGATCTATCAAAATTCCAAAATCCATAACTGAATTGGATTTTGCGCCAAAATTGTATGATATTGTTGTAGTAGATATAGTTGATATTATATTTAGAACTTATAGGAAATGCAATAATTTTATTGGCAAAATATTTTATTCCTAAATGTAAACAATACTCAATGTAATACTGTTCTTCATTATACTTGAATTACTTAATTATGACACTAAAACAAATAATACTAAAAAATAATAAATAAAAAAAGAGTCATAACTGTGAAATTCTAAAACACACTTTGGAATGTAGCGTCATTTAATTACATTATTTTGTATCATTGTATGTATGTAACAAACTGTATATACTGTATTATGTGTGTGTGTGTTTTTTTATTTGGTCTTCCATCCTTTAGTTTAAAAATCTGTTATCTATTGTTAATGTCTGTAATTGTTACTTTTATTGCATGGTTTGTTCACATAACATTCAATAAAAATTAAAAAAAAGCTCTAAATGTTTTGCTCTAAAGTTTGGTTGAACTGTTCATTTGAATAAACATCATTTTATCCCACCTGTTAAGGAAGGCATTGCCAAAGGCGTTGAGTTTCCGAAAGGGTTTTTTGGGATCCACAACCAGTGCGTTTCCTGGAATTAGTCCTTCCATGTTGCCATGCATCACTGCTATGAAGGAGTCAGTTGTGGGTTCTGGACCAATCCGCATACCAGGGAAGTCCTGCTCCAGGAGATATCTATAAAAATAGATTCATTTAGATCAAAACACTTCTAATGAACATTATCATGTGTAAAATAAATATAAAATAAACATTTTAAAAGTCTAAGTGTATCTGAATACTCTTACTGAATTTAGGCTCAAAGATGCAATAGTCCTCAACAACTAAGAGACAAGCCAGTGAAAAACAAGAAACAGTTTATTTGAGAGGAGAGCAAACAGGTTTCTAAAATCTAAATAAAAATGAATATCCTCAATATTGCAATAAATCAAGGTTGCCACAGCCTCTTAAACATCAGAATCTTAAATATTTTAAGCATTTTATGTCAATCTGCTTTTCTTTTTTCTTTTCTTTTTTTCCTTTTTTAAATTTTTAAAAAAAAATGTAAAAAAAAAAACATTAAACTTAAAAAACTTTTCTTTTCTTTTTTTAAATTATTCAAATTTCTAAAGCTTAGATTACTTCCATGTTTAAATGGGGGGAAATATCCCAAGCTTACAATGTGTTCTCAGACTTCCATCCCAGTAATGGATACCTCAAGATAAGACCATGTTCACATGATTTCTGTTGCTGTTAAAGGAAGACTGCTAAGATGACACTCTAATAGAGAATGTGAGTTTGAGATAATGTTTACTCTTCTCAGCACAGAGTCATTCAAACAAACCCTGCTGTGGACATGTGATGACACTGAGAATGTTTGGAATACAGTGTAGGTCAAAATGAGAGTTTCAGTAACTACAGGACACTTGGCCTCAGCTGAGAACTTATTAGCTGTGGTTTATGCCAATAACACAAGAGTGTCAACAGAACACTGGCGTCATTTGGATGTTTTGCCAAGGCCAGTGTATCTAATACAGAGGAAGTTATCTATCACTTTTCTGTAACCCTGTGAAATCACAAAACAATTCAAACTAATCTCTCCCTGGCTAAAAATATACACGATCGTCATTTTATAAAGAAATTAATACTTTTATTCAGCAAGGATGCATTAAATTGATCACATAACGGTTTCTTGAGCACCAAATCAGCTTATTAGAATGATTTCTGAAGGATCATGTGACACGAAAGACTGAAATTATGCTGAAAATTCAGCTTTGCAGTTACAGGAATAAATTATGTTAAAACAGTTATTTTTAATTGGAATAATAATTGAGAATATTAGTGTTTTTTAGGCATAAGACTACAAAAAGCATTTTAAACATATTGCCTAACTTTTTGGCAGTGTAGCTACATTGATCAAGTGAATAATTTTAGTTTATTTATTTAATAAAAATAAAAATACATTATGGTGAATTGCAATGTGGATACCCTGGTGCTCAAATCAAAACTGCTAACACTTTACAATAAGGTCTTATTTGTTAAGATTAGTTAATGTATTAACTAACATGAACAAACAAGGAGCAATACATTTGTTACAGTATTTATCAATGTTAGTTAATAAAAAATCCAACTGTTCATTGTTTGTTCATATTAGTTCACAATAAACTAACTAATGTTAACAAATACATTTGATTTCCGTAAAGTATTAGTAAATGTTAAAATGAGCATTAACTAAGATTAATAAATGCTGTAGAAGTGTTATTAATTTTTAGTTCATTCTAACTATAGAAGTTAACAAATGAAACCTTATTGTAAAGTGTTACCCCAAAGTTACTTGCTAATGTGTTTGTCCAGTCCACTGACCAACAAAATAAACTTTGAATTTGAAAGTAAATAAAGATTTGATCTCTATACATCACATAATGTATCATAATGTATTAAAACAGTAGATCTTAAATAGCTTGAGCATAATCTAATTAACATTCATGAGCTACACATTTGTGATGTCAAAAACGGGGGTATCTCCACCAATTTTTATAAACAGAGTGAGCACCACCACTTTTGTATATGGGGCCATGTTGAAAAGATTCAATGTTAGGCATGAAACCCCTCATGACATTATAATGAAGTGTTTCATGGACTTTCTCACATTCAGAAAACATACAGAGCAAGTTGAGCTTATTTTCTTAGTTATGTATGCAGTCAGCAGAACAGACACTGTGTCCACTGAGGCTCTCACGGCCCTTATGAATAATGCACAGGAGGAAAGAGAGCCAGAGCCAAAGTGAGAAGGCACATTTGTTACTGCTAGTGCAGGACAATACCTCACATTTAAGACTCACCCCGAGTACAAACGGCCTAGCTATTCAAAGAATCCCAGATTATGTAATTCAAATTAACTATAGCCAATGACATTACATTTTATGATGGTTATGAAACAGAAAATATTTACACTAACATTAAAAAGTTTTGGGGTTGATAACATTTTTAAAGGAGTTTATGGTCACCATAAGGCTGAATTTATTTATTTATTTATAAAACATACAGTAAAAACAGTAACATTTTGAGATATTATAACAATTTAAAATAACATTTCTATTTCAATAAATGTAAAAATTGTATTTATTCTAGCAAAACGGAATTTTCAGCATCATTACCCCAGTCTTCAGTGTCACGTGATACTTCAGAAATCATTCTAAATGCTGATTTGGCACTCAAGGAACATATTATTATCAGTTGTGCATTGATATTTTTGTGTGATTTTTGTGATTTTTTTTTCATTATAAATGCTGTTCAAATGCATCATATAATTGTTTACAGAATCCACAACTCCAAGCTTACTTTAAGCTATTCGTTTAACTTCTCAATCAGAATAATCTTCAGGTTAGTCTTAAAAATGTTGGAATGACCACATGATGACTTTTCAAATGGATAACTGGTGCATCTCCAACCACATTTACATCTCTAAACTTTTCTGCATGAACCTATTAGTGACAACAAGTAACTATGGCAATGCTGGAGTCATTGGAAGTGTCTCCTGTTGCCTGGTGATCTTCAGTAGTTTGTTGCTTTTCTTTTTAGACCTGAAAGCTTTAAATAACCCCGCAGACAAACATCACACCACAGCAGCGACATTGTGTCCTACAGATACATCTTAGAGCCGGAGCCAGGCCTGTTCTGTTGACAGGTTAACAGTCTCTGTCCAAGCCTAAAATTATAGTATGTTAAACATTGTTTAGCATGTAACATCAAGATTTGTATTAAATGAACACTGAAATTCTCATGTAAACAAATGAATGATAAATCTATATCACTGAAGTCATTACATTTTGTGGCTTATTGGATTGGCATCTCACATGAAACTTGGATGATGCAAATGTAATTGTGACAGTTATATAAAATATATCCCAAATGTTTTAAGTGGTGCTGTTTGAGATGATGTTTAATAAATCATAAATGAGGAATAATTTCTGATTTTACAGCAACGCGTTGTTTTGAGCTTCTCAGTCCTGAATATATCTTTCACAAAAAAATAGGTGTGACACACAAAATATTCTTACATGTATCCTGTTAAATATTATTCAAATATATTCTCATGAATAACAATAATAAACATTATTATAAAGTTTCCTGGCTGATGTTCTTAACGTGCTCAGGACACCACCAGCACCTGTTTAACAGGAGCCAAAACACACATCATACCTTATAAAGCTGGTTTTGCCAGTGGAATACTGTCCCACCAGGAGAACCATGGGCTTATTGTCAAAATCTGCATCCTCCAAAGCGGGAGAGTGAAACTCGTGGAATTTGTAGTGCTCCTCCAGAGGAAGCAGTTTGGTTTTGTAGAGCTTCTTGAGTCCTTCACTGACAGTCTGGAAGACTTCTGGATCCTTCTTCCTCCTGTCATCGGTTCCTAACCAGCTGAACATGGTGCAATTCGAGAATAAGCAACCTTACACGACTATTTCTGTTTTCCTTGGACAATTATATCACAATATGCACCAACGAGCAGTATTAAAATGAATGACTTTTTTCTGACGTAGATGTATTTAAGAGTCCATGGAAAATGTTACCTAGTCTCTCTAGACCACTGACGACACAAAATGCAAAAAGGACTAGAACATATTTACAAAATAGGATGCATTATATAATATTCCGCGTATATATCACGGCCAAAAACATAACAAAACAGGCAGCCTTCCTTTCATTCAGGCTTTGTTGGAATAAAAGCGCGCGCCGCTAGACGCGATGTTACCACTCAGCGAACGCAATAGACAGGGTTGGAAATTTGAAAGAGAAAAGAAAACGAGCGCAAAATCCTGCAGCGGAGCAGATTCACTCACGATGACAGGCGTCCACAGGCTTTCCACTGCAGCAGATTTAAATGCCAGTGCGCTGGAGAAACCCGACACTGGAGGAAATGCCCCACTGCTGGCAAAGCCCCACCCAGAGTACAGGAGCTCAGCCAGGGATGCAGCGCCATGCTAGCGGATGGTGATGGTTGGAACTGCAGAAGCTTTCCTCCTGAGAGATTTTATTTACATCAGTACAATGATTGGTAAATAAAAAGATACTTCAAGGATGTATATAATATAATATAATATAATATAATATAATATAATATAATATAATATAATATAGGCTAATAGTAGCCTAAACAGTGACATGTATCTCCAAGAAATTAAAAAAAAACGTAAATCTCAATAATAGGTTAAAAAATGTATTATTTATTAGCACTTAAATTTAATCATAACATCCCATATACATACTGTACTATATTCGCATATCTAATGTGTAAAGGTAGCCTAAATCAAGTGTGGTTGAAAATGTCCACCTGGTGGCAAGCCTTTGTAGAGCAACACACTTGAAAATGAAGCATGTACAAAATAGGTAAAATCCCTTTTGCCTCAGTTGTGTAAAGCCAAAAAAGGTCAGTTTTGACAAACTGACAGACTGTAATTTTGACAGAGTGGAGAAGGTCTAGAAAAATATTTTATTTTATAAACTGCATTGCGCAAAAGTGCATGTGAATTAAAAACTAGACAATCGTGAGCAAAAGTTTCAGCACATTGCTTTCTCCAGTGATCACCTAATCAAATTATTATAGGCTACATATAGCCTATATTGTTGTAAGGGTGATGTTAGATTTCATTGTTTTCATTAATGCTTTTGTTTCTTGTGTTTCCTTGCAGTTTAGTGTTGTTGATCTCCTTGTTAATTTCCTTGGTTTATTAGTACACCTGTCGGTTATCGTCTTTACTTTGAGTATGTTAATGCTCTTTTGTATTCCTGTGTATTATTCTGCAACCTTTAGTGTTCTGGTTTGATTATTGAAGAATTTTGAATTCATACATCTTCATGTGTATTGAATGGAACAAACAAAGAATGTGACAATTATACAGTATGTGGATATAGGCCTATGGCATATTCAGTTCAGTGTTGTTTGTAATAACTTCAAGGTGGGCCCAAAGACTGTGAATTACGACAGAGCAAATTAAATAGACTAAAAGAAGATAAGCCTGCAGGCAATATTCAGCATAGTTAGGGTACCACAAAGCCTACTTTAGAGGAATGGAAGAGGATTCTGTAATATTTTTTATACCAAAAGTAGGCTATATTTCCACCTATGGAAATGTATTTTTAGATGTATCACTTTAAAAAGCATAAACTCATTAAATAAATAGGAAATAGAAAACAAGATTTTATTTGATCAAATCGCGTTTTTAAGTGCTACGATGCAAATTTTAAACGGGTATCCTATAATAAGCGTGTAAATAGAACACGCCACTAGATGGTGCAATAAGACAATGAAACATTACTTCGAAGGCCTAATAACAGTGACTGTTGATGTTAATACATTTTCAATTTTTTTCCCTCTTGAGTGATTATTCTAAAATGTTTGTACAAAAATAAATATTGTACAACAATTTGATAACAACATTTGTTGACACTCACTGTCCAAGCTGTGGCTGAATATGCTGATGTAATGTAACAGCAAAGTTAAGCGAAAATATATTGGGTCAAACCTCATAGACTGGAAATTTTAATAGCTACGTCGACACTTCCAAAGTACATAAAAGGGTAGAAAGTGTGACTATATGGTTTTACCACTAGATGTCTCTCTCAGGCACAAAAACGGGTTTGGTCTTTCGTTTCAAAGTTGAATTAAAGTCGAGAACAAAAAATTAGGATTACTGGAGAAACTAATGAAAACAAACTGCTGCTGTAATCACATCATATTATTATTACATTCTTGTGAGTTAAAAGACAGAGTCAGATAATAGATGTAATATGCTGTGAAACAGTTTGGTCATGTAATAGAGAGCAGAAACAAGTTCCTCTCCTTTGTATTTTTGATGAAAGGAACATGGAAGCAAACAACCATGACACGTTTTCCTAGATGAGGGGCTAAAATTTTATGATTGAAAAAGGAAGATAATTGAAACTGGGCTATTTAATTTTCACGACATGTATTGTATACCACAATGTCCTTGTTAGTGGCTGATGAAGCACAACAGATACGAAGACACACTTCTCCTATAGCTCTATTTCATGCGCATGAAGGCCTGAGGCTGTTCATGTTGCTCTCTGAATCCCATTACAACAGCCAACTGTTGTACAGTAGTACTGTGACAACAGTAGCTTGTCTAATGGATGATCAAAGCAAAATAAGTGTGTAGACCTTTGCCCCTTTAGCACTGTGAATCCAGCTGGAATGTGCACTGTATCAAAGCTATACAGGTATCAAAGACTCTCCTAAATTAAAATGTTGTCTTCATGTACTCACTGTATGACCTGTATGACTTTCTGTCTTCTATGATACACAAAAGAAGGTATTTTGAAGAATGTTGGTAACTAAATAGATTTGGTGACCATAGTTTTGATGGCCAGATTACCCCCCACACAAAATATTTTCTTTTATGTTTCACAGAGGAAAGAAAGTCACACAGTTTTGGAATGAGATCTAAATGATAACTGAATGATCATTTTTGGTGATCACTTTAACGTGAAAAACATCCAGTGTGCTTCTATAATTTTTTTATTGGGTAGTTATAAGGTGGCCATTATTAAATGAATAAATGTCAATATTTACTCAGTTTAACCTTTTTTACAAACTAATACCTAATTTCCTTTCCAGAGACATTTTCCAAAATGCAAATATCAAAACTCACTTGCAACAATGGCCAGATTTATTGATTTGACCCACAATGAATAAATGCATGGTCATAAAATATTAATTTGAGATTAAGTTATTTTATTTACCTGTATAGGCCTACACGTATTATCTTAAAACCTCCCCTGAAGAAAAAAAAATTCAATGTATAAAAAAATTGGCCAAGCAACAGGATGAATGCTGCAGCAATATTTCAGTAATTTTCATGTTGAAACTGATTGTTGTGAAAATGGCACTAGATGGAGCTGCATTTTTATGAAACAAGAAAGTGCAAGTTTGCAGTGTGATCTGAGGGCGATCAGAGTGATGTACTGTAGAGTCCAGTGTTACCATGGAAAACATCAAGAATTAAGAAATTGTGGAATGCAGTAATTGACCAATCAGAATCAAAGAATTCTAGTGTCCCGTGTAATATGAGATAACATAATTGTAATTCTTGGATGAACCATTCGTTTAATGCAGCCTTAGAATAAACATTGGAATGCAATCTCAAGAAAAACCGCAGAAGGTGTCTGGGTAAATTTTGAGGGAACAATGAAAGGAGACAGTCTCATAAAGTGGCAGAGAGAGGTGGGGATACCTAGGGAGTGCAATGCTCCATCTGTCTTATCATATTTAAGGCCTAAATCTCTGGGGTTTCTCGCGCAGACTTGATTTATAATCTGTCATACATCTTGATGAGTTCGCCAGGCATAGCATAGCGTGTGTTTGTGTGATTCTGTCACTTTGGTGGAGCCCACGAGGCTATGAAGACCTGCAACCTGTTTGTGCCAACTCACTCTTGAATTATCTGGCAGATCTGTATATAGTGGTATCACAAATTATTAAGAGATTACTTAAATTCAAGAATATGCCATCCTGCATTTATCTCATGCGCTTTTGTCACACGTCCAATTTCCAATAGTTGTGTAGTATTACCGTCGATAAGAAGAACATTTTTTTTCTCTCACTCTCCTCTTGAGCTGAGATGTGGGCTGGCAGCTCATTCTGAGCATTTAACAGTTTGAGTGGCTTCACAAGGATCCAATTATACACACATATTAAGCCATACAGTGGAGTGTTTAATAGCATAAATTGCCAAGGCGTATTTTTCAATCCGGTTAAAATTATGTTTTATTTACCATATCAGATGTTAGGGGATTTCGCGGCTAGCTCTGGGTAATCCAGACAGAAAAGAAATATCACAAATGAGATCTCTTTACAGTAATATCTCAATTGTTGCTTCTAGACAGCATTCACAGACAGCAGATTACAGAAACCAAAAGAAGACTTCAAACACCCCAGTCATTGTTTCAGACCTCATCAGTGTCTCAAACTGTGCACAGATTTGCCAAGATATTGAAGTATGCAATGAAAAATCAGCAAGCTCAACATGAACTCAAACGTTTTGTATTCAAATTGTTTTTAAACCAAATTATCTCAGTCACAGATTGTCCACTGCATATAGTTATATAAACGCTGTAGCAGATCTAGGCAGGTGGAGCTGGGGAGGTTGAGGATTTCAGAGGAACTAGCTCACAGCAAACAATGAACCACACTATTTAAGGTCCTGTTTACACAAGAACGCTCACGGGTGAAAACGTAAAAATATTTTATCTGATGTGCCTTTCGTTTACACGGCGACGTCGTTTTGGGGCTTAAAAACGCAAAAAAAAGTGAAACCACCCTCCAGAGTGGAAATCTTAAAAACGCTCCATCGCCGCGTTCCCGTGTAAAGGGTAAAAAACGCAAAAGTCTGCTAGACAGTGAAGGTTGTACGCAGGCGCGTGGACTTGGTGTTCTTGTGTGGCAGTGCTTCACATCGCCAGCTAGCCGCCTGGAGTGCATACTACATTGAATTTCACACACTTTTGCGTCACCATATCCACGCGGATTTCCCACCCAAAACGCTCGTCTAAACGCAGAATTAAACGTTTCCGTGTAAACATCCCTGCAAACATGCCCCTGCGGGGCCGACGCTGGCTTTTTGTGGGCACAGTGGGCTAGGGCCAGCCCACGCCAAACCTAAACAGGCCCAGTGCGGGTTGCCCAGACGAGGCCCACAGCTTTGGGCTCACTGCGGGCTATCAGTGAGCAGCCCACACTAGCGGGCTGCCCACATTAAGCCCATGATGGCCCACTGTGGGCCATCCCATTCGGGCCCATGAGCAGGTTTTGCACCTTTGGGCCCATGCGGGTTTAGTTTAGGTAGCCCACATTTAGATTTGCCCACATGCCCACAATGTCGTCAGTACGTCCTCTAATCATAATAACTTGGTAATTTTAATTCTCTTAAAAATTAAAAAAAAAAAAATATATAT